TCAATATGAATAAACAAATGATGTTTTAGGATATTAGATCTATATATTTTTTGCGCAATTCTTCATAGATCATGGAGGAAATTCTTCGGATTGTCAATTCAAAATGATCTATATGAAACTTTTTGTCTCAAAATGCTATTATGTCTCTCTTCAAACATTTTTATCTGTTAAAGAAAAAATGCTTTCCGCGATATCAACAACACATGCGGCATATGCTTTTTCTTCATTATAATGATACATATATTTATGAAGATAAATTGGGTTCAAAGCGTAATTCCTAATTTTGTTCTGATTTTGGAAATTATGCCACTTTTATAAAATAAAAAATCACCATTATTCAAAAAGTGGGTTGATCGTTGGGTCATTGCTGATTGCATAAAATTTCCAAACATTTGTATTGAATTTAGATGAAATATAATCTTTTCAAATTTCAGAAAGAATATAATACATGAAATGCAATATATGTTCAATGCAAATTTTTAAAATATATTTTATAATTGAATTTTCTCAAATTTTGAGTAGACTCATTGAAAATCTAATAAAATGTAGTAGTTAATGATTTATTCTTTATGGAAAATGTTGTTGGTTAATTTTCCGAATGAAATAGTGAGTAATTGAAATTGCCAGCATATTTACCCTTGCGTTTATCAATTTCCCATAATGAGTGGACTGATTTTTTTGATTCTTCAAATAATTACGTTTCTTTTAAAAATAAGAATGAAAGTTTTGGTATTAATGTTGACAAAAGCTATTATATCTCCCTTTGTTTATTTATCTATCTTAATGAAACAGGAGCAATTCGGATTTCAAGTAACTCGCGAAATACCCTTAAATTTCTCATTGATACAAGTTCATTTGATAATTGCCTGCACAAAAATGAAGAAGGTGGCTCTTTATACATAAATGCAAATCAAGGAGAATGCGTTCAAGATAGAGTCTGTAGTATTGGTTCAAAAACACCCAGCGTCGGTACTTATTGTTCTATAACTGCCTCACCTGTTTATCCAAATAGAGATTATATCCTTGAAACATCAATAATTGAAAGTGGGGATGAAAACACCAGTGGAAACAATAATATGTTGCTATTAAATGGTGAAATACATATGAAATCTATCAATCTCTCTTATTCGAAATTGGACCATTCGAATTTCTATTACACATATTTTGATTCAAATTCGAATTTATCATTTTCAACATTTTCAAACAATACATCATCAAATCAAGAACACTCTCAAGCATATCATGATGAAGCATCTGATTCACAATTTAAAATTATATATTAGTGCAGGTAATAGCAATTTTATTCGAGTAGAAGGATGTTATTTAGATATTTTGAATCCTGAGACATTTGGAAATGCAATAATAATAAACGAACAAAGTTCAATGTATTCAGAAAATAATCATTTATCAACTTATAAATGTCATGCAAAAAACAATGACGAAAATATCACGGAAGACGACATAAAACTCAAAGATAAGTATAAAAGAAAACGTAAACTGGCTTTAATTTCTCTTTTCCCTTCAAAAGCTTCCTAGTACTTCTGTATTAAAAATGAAAAGACACTCTGGAAACAGGAACAAGATAATCTAATGAAATACTAATATTATTTAAATTTTGTAGCATTCAATAGTCCATTTATCAATTAAAAATAGAAAAATGTATTTTAGATGTCCATTTTCTTGCACTAAATTTGAATATCAATTCAAAATTGAAACTCGAAAAGAGCAAGAAAACTGCAAGTCTCATCACTTTTTTCAAGGCTCGATTTTTAAAAACAGCTTAAAAATGGAGCTTATATTGAAATAGTGTAGAGACTAAGAATTACCATATTGAAAAATTTCATTTTCAATACGTTCAATTTTGAATGCTTTCTAAACTGGCTTTCAAAAATTGAAATGTATATAACTTAAACCATTATGAAGAATTTGTGTTAACATAGAAATATTATTCAATATTGCTTCTTAGTTATGAACCCAATTTTTAGACTTCAATACAAAAATATAATTCTGATCATTTTTATAAGACTTTTTATTAGCAATACACACGGTTTCTTTTCTATATAAAGTTATAAGATGACTAAATAATGATACTTACAGTTATAAGATCCATTTATCATATATTTTTTGAATTCAATATGATTAATAATATATTATAAAGGAATCGATATTAATGTCTCAAAAAGCTATTATGTCTCTCTTTATCTCTTTATTTATCTTAATGAAGAAGGTGCAATTCGCATTTCAGATGAAACAAACAGCAATCTTAAGTTCCTTATTGACACAAACTCATTTGACAAATGTGAGCATAAGAGAGACAAAGGCGGCTCTTTATACATAAATTCTACAAAAGATGAATGTATTCAACACCAAATTTGCAGTTTTGGCTCGAAATCTGACGATAATGATGCTTATTGTTCTATAGAAGTTTCATATACTTCACCTTAAAAAATTATCTTCTTGATTCAACAATTTCTTCAAGTGGTGAAGGAAATGAGAAAAGTCATTAATTTATATGAACAATGGTGAAGTTTACATTAGATCGATCAGTATTTTTTATAATAGACTCTATTTTGTTAATCATTATCAAGTTTTTGGTAATTCGAACTCAAATGTAACACATTCCACGTTTTCAAAAAGTACTACTACATATGATCATGGCAATCAAACCGATTATTATGAATCTAATTCGTGTGAATTAAAAATTCTTCTTTGTAATTACTACCAAAATGGTTGCTTTAAATTTATTCATACTACGCATAATTTATACATAATTAATTGTAGTTTTGATAAAAATAATATCAAAGTTACATATTTCTATGAAGAGAGCAATATAATTCATGTTAAAGGATGTTATTTTGACACTTCAGTTACTGATACAATCGGAAACGTCACAATATTAGAGAAGGCTATTACCATAAATTCGGAAAATTATCATTTGTCATCTACTTTATGTGATGCACAAATAATGCTTGATTTCCAAATATGCAAAAGAAAAGAAAGTAGTCAAAATTAACTCTCGACAAAATTATTTTTGTTTGTATCTGCAATGATTGATAATGATTGGATATTGATGATCCGACTCGGTTAAGTCTTTATTCTCAAAATGCTCAACATGGACTTCTATAAAATAAATTTAATTTGAAAACTGATTATAAATAAAACAAAAACTAAGTTAAAATTTGTCATATTTATTGCCTAGGCAACGTAAACAGTATGTTGTCTGGGAAATCAATACTCTTACCTACAATTATTTTTGATCCAAATGCTGTTTGTTATTAAAAGCAAAAATAATCATATATTAGAGAATTACACTTTTTCGATATGTTTGAGTTGCTTCGCGCCGCTGATAAAACATCTGAAAAGTTGGAATTTTGCTTCGTTGGTCAATACTATAAATATAGTCAACAAAAATATTGTCCGTTAATGTGCTGAAAATATATCTCATGCTACAGAATGGATATCGTTTGATGAGCATAAGATAACTTCCAAGAAATATCGAAAATTGACAATAAAAAAGTATGAAATTACTTAACCTTAAACTTTCAACTGATATAAAAATTGAGAGCCTCTTTTTCGGATCCGAAAAATTCACCATTTAGAATATTATTAGTTTGCTAGGTATATTAGTCTTTTTTACACACTTAGGATGGACAGATTTCTTTGACTCAACTATTCAATATGATTCATACGAAAACAAGAGCAGTAGTCTTGATATTATAGTTTCAAAAAAAGCTATTACATCTCTTTTTGTCTCTTTATTTACCTTAATTCCACAGGTGCAGTTCGCATCTCAGATACATCAGACAATAATCATAAATTTCTCGTTGATGCAAGCACGTTTGACAAATGTGAACATAAAAGTGATATAGGTGGTTCCTTATACATAAATTCCAAAAAAGGTGAGTGTATTCAAGACCGAATTTGCAGTTTTGGCTCTAAATCTTCCAAGATGGGTGTATATTGTTATATTATTATTTCATCAACATCTCCATTTAAGAATTATATTCTTGATTCAACAATTTCTTCAAGTGGTGAAGGAAATGAAAAAAGTCACAATCTTTATTTGAAAAATGGAGAAACAAATATGAGATCAATCAATATTTCATATTCAAAACTTTCATATATTAATTTTTACCAAATCACAAGTAATACTAATTCAAACATAACACACTCAACATTTTCAAACAGTATATCTACAGATGAATATGGCTCTTAGATAGCTTATGAGGGATCTGATTCACCAGAATTTAAAATTCTTTTTTGTAATTTCGTTGAAAATAGTTGCTATTTGTTTATTTACAGTTATTATAATCTCAATATTATTAATTGCAGTTTTTATCAAAATTTCATACAATCAAATTTTTTCACTGCAGTTGAAAATCAAATTCTCGTTGAAAAATGCTATATTGACAATTCAAATATTGATATAGATGGATATGTCGTTATAACAGAGAATGTAAGTTCAATTTATCCAAACAATTATCATTTATCTTCAGGTTTATGTTTTGCAAAACTAAAACTTGAAATTACAAAAGAGAATACTTACGGTGCAAAAATTCAAACAGATTGTTTATGTCTAAATCTAATACAAAAATCAATTAATTTCTATAAAAGAAGATAATTTATTATCATTTTTACGCATATGCAAATCTAAAACTTGAATTTACAGTGATTATCAGAATATTTTAAAAAAAAATCGCAGATCCCTAATTTATGAAATTGGGACATTTCGACAGAAGTTAAATAAACCATGAATCATGTTGTTTATATTTTTTTATTATTTATTAAATATTTGCAGTTCTATAATGTATTTAATTTAAACTGTATACTCTCACGATTTTAACTTGTTCTGAAAACATCAGGTCTGCAATTCCATTCTGAATAAACGTCAGATGTGTGTAAGTGCCTCCTTAAACAATCATAAACGATATGCTTATTAATAAAACAATAATTTATTCAATGAAAGAAATAAACAAGGATAGAAATAAATATAATAAGAATTAAGAGAAAGGATAAAATAGGAATTGGGACTTTTCTGTGAAAACGCAAAGACCAAGTGAATACTTGTCGTATTTAATGCAAAGAGTACGTGAACCACATGCTGCGGCAAATAAAAGTTTTTCGGGGAAGAATGATTCGAAAACAACGATGTTGCCTTGTTGGTCACTGCTGCAAACGTAATCAACAGAGTTGTTGTCTGTCCATGTGCAGAAAAGATATGTCATTCGGTCGAAAGGACATCGTTTGATGATGCTACCGTTGATACTGACAACAAAGTACTCGTGCTGTGCTTTGCAAAGAATATATCCACTGCTTGGACAGATGATGATGTGGAAGATGTACTCGCCTAAATAAACATGACGATGAAGACGATGTTTGTCATTATCAAAGATAAGAAGTTTTCCATCACTAAGACTGACAACACTGATTCGAAACAATGTTGAGACACAAACGCATGTAACGTACTCACTAAATGCGTTGAAAACATATGGACTAGTATTATTACTATTAGAGGAAACAAGTGTTAAAACACCCATGTGGTTGCATAAAATAAAACTATGTGGATCAAAATAGAAATGATCGATGTTACTTTGATCACAATAAACAACGTTATTTTGAGAATCAATGATTTTGTTATCATAAACAAAAAGGGTTTTGTTCTCATAAACGCTGATGAGAAAACAAATATGATTCATATAATTTGTCTGTTTGGTCAACACCAAAAACAAAATCAATCCAGCGACAAAGAGAAGGACTCATTGAAAGACTGTTCAAGAGTTTACGACTCTCGTAAACAAATGAAAAGACTTTACTGTGTTTGATGGAAATACTATCTTTGTCATCGAGATCGTTCATTGTTACTTTTGTCCAACTCTCTGATGCACGTAAGAAAACGTGTGGAGAACTGATGCATTCGATCTTTTCGTCTGATAAATCATCATCTGCAATAGTTATTGAAAATGATGATTCTTCTGAAATGTCGTCATGTGACTTTTCTTCTGAAAATGATGTTTTGATGGGAGTTGCACTGATGATTTCAATCTTTGGAGTAAGAAGTGTTTGATCACCAAAAATAAAAATTTCTGGCAATGAATAAAACTCTGAAAAACTTTCGCGATTTTCATTAAAATCACGAATCCGTTCGAAAACAGAATGAATTGATGAAAATGTCTCAAAGTTATATCTGTTGTTGAGAGATGAAAATAATTCAAGACATGAGAAAACAGAACAAACAAAGCGTCTATTATTCGGTGATTGTTTCAGTTTAGAAATGTCTTGTTGTTGGTTGATGTTTCTGTTCTTAGTAGATTGCATAGTTATAGGGAATGAAAGATTACGAATTGAATGAGATTTGAAATAAGTTTCAACCCATGGAAAGATAGGATAATTGTCAATGTCGTTGAAAGAACGACCCGAAATCATGTTAACTAAAATCAAGAAATCATAATTACTTAAAAAACCATAATGCCATTTTTCAATCAAATGAAGTTCTTTAACTAATGAAGGACCATGTTCATACTGAATAATTGTTGATGGACTGAATTTGATCTCTTTAATAATATTGATGATTTCGGTAATGGTTTATTCTTAAACTCGAAAAAGGGTGAGTGTATTCATAACAGAATCTGTTGTTATGCAAATCAATCTCATAATAGTTCGGCTTCTTTTTCTAGTAATACAATTTCAACAACATCTCCATTTCGAAATTATATCCTTGATTCGACTGTTACATTAAGCAGCGATAAAAATTACCGTGGAATAACAAATATTTATTTGAATAATGATGAAATTTATTTAGAATCAATCAATATTTCACGTTCAAAACTTAATTATGCTGTTTTTTACTATGCTAATTGCAGTTCTAAGTCAAATGTTACATTTTGCACATTTTATAACAATTCTGCAAATGCTTCACCTGGTTATTATCAAGCTCGACATTTTGCAATATCTAATTTGATTGAATTCGAAATACATTTTTGTAATTACTTGGAAAATACATGCAATTCATTTATTTCCAGTAGTTTACATCTTTATATTCTAAACTGTAGTTTTAATAAAAATAACTTCAAACAGAATTATTTTTTAAATGATCAATATGTTTTGCTTTTTCTTTATATATCACTTAAGCAAAATACTTCTAGGAAGATGTTGGGCCATATCATTACCATTATTTTCTGCATAATGAAGAGTAGTTCTTCCAAATATACTGCTTTTCATTCAAAAGATTCCATGTAATGAAATGAAATTCTAGCCCATTTTGGAAATAAAATCTTCTGACTAAAATTTGCTTTTAATGGGAGACTAGATATTTTGTTTTCCAGATATACAAAAGAAAAGATAGTAGCCAGAATTAACTCTTGACAAAATAATAAAGATGATATTTTATTATTTTAGTTTGTATCTGCAATGATTGATGATGACTGAATATTGATGATTCAACTCAGTTAAGTCTTTAGTCTCAAAATGCTCAACATTGACTTCTCTAAAAGAAATGTAATTTGAAAACTGATTATAAATAAAACAAAAACATATTCCAAAAATTAACAAGAATAGCTATTAATAATAAGAGTTCGGTGAAAATGCAAAAACTAAGTAAAATTTTGACGTATTTATTGCCTAGGCTACGTAAACAGTATGTTGTGGGAAAAAATACCTGTGATGAATAACTCGAAAAAAATCAATACTCCTGCAAAAATAATCATATGCTAGAGAATTTGTTCCCATGATAAAACATCTGAAAAGTTGGAATTTTGCTTCGTTGGTCAATACTATAAATATAGTCAACAAAAATATTGTCCGTTAATGTGCTGAAAATATATCTCATGCTACAGAATGGATATCGTTTGATGAGCATAAGATAACTTCCAAGAAATATCGAAAATTGACAATAAAAAAGTATTAAATTACTTAACCTAAAACTTTCAATTGATATAAAAATTGAGAGCCTCGTTTTCGGATCCGAAAAATTCACCATTTAGAATATTATTAGTTTGCTAGGTATATTAGTCTTTTTTACACACTTAAGATGGACAGATTTCTTTGATTCTTCTATTCAATATGATTCATACGAAAACAAGAGTAGTAGTCTTGATATTAGTGTTTCAAAAAGCTATTACATCTCTTTTTGTCTCTTTATTTACCTTAATTCCACAGGTGCAGTTCGCATCTCAGATACATCAGACAATAATCTTAAATTTCTCGTTGATGCAAGCACGTTTGACAAATGTGAACATAAAAGTGATATAGGTGGTTCCTTATACATAAATTCCAAAAAAGGTGAGTGTATTCAAGACCGAATTTGCAGTTTTGACTCGAAATCTGACGATAATGGTGCTTATTGTTCAACAAAAGTTTCTTATACTTCGCGCCCCTGAAAACAAAGTCGGAAAAGTGCTAGATTGGTAGTCAACAAAAATATTGTCTGTTCACGAGCAGAAAATATATCTTATGCTACAGAATGGATATTGTTTGATGAGCATAAGATTACTTCCAGGAAATATCGAAAATTGACTATAAAAATGTATTTACTTGCATAGCCTTAAACTTTTGATCGAAATTGAGAGCCTCTTTTTTTGGATCAAAATCACCATTAAAAATTTATTTAGAATATTAGTTTGCTAGGTATATTAGTCTTTTTTACACACTTAGAATGGACGGATTTCTTTGATTCTTCTATTCAATACACGTTATACAGCAACAAAACCGAAATTCTCAATATTAGCGCAAAAAATAGCTATTATATATCTGGTTGCACCTTTAGTGATCTTGATTCTGCAGGTGCAGCTCGCATCTCAGATACATCAGACAATAATCTTAAATTTCTCATTGATGCAAGCACGTTTGACAAATGTGAACATAAAAGTGATATAGGTGGTTCCTTATACATAAATTCCAAAAAAGGTGAGTGTATTCAAGACCGAATTTGCAGTTTTGGCTCTAAATCTTCCAATATGGGTGCATATTGTTATATTAATATTTCAGAAACATCTCCTTTTAAAAATTATATCCTTGATTCAACAATTTCTTCAAGTGGTGAAGGAAATGAAAAAAGCCACAATCTTTATTTGAAAAATGGAGAAACATATATGAGATCAATCAATGTTTCATATTCAAAACTTTCATATATTAATTTTTACCAAATCACAAGTAATACTAATTCAAACATAACACATTCAACATTTTCAAACAGTAAATCCACAAATCAAAATGGCTATGAAATAGCTTATTATGGATCTGATTCACCAAAATTTAAAATTCTTTTTTGTAATTTCGTTGAAAATAATTGTTATACATTTATTACTAGTCAATATAATCTCAATATTATTAATTGCAGTTTTTATGAAAATTTCATCCAAAAAAAATTTTAAATGCAGTTGATAATCAAATTCTAGTTGAAAGATGCTATATTGGCAATTCATATATTGATACAACAGGATCTGTCACAATAGCAGAGAAAGTAGATTCAACTTATCCAGATAATTATCATTTATCTTCAGGTTTATGTTTTGCAACTAAAACTAGAATTTACAAAAGAGAATACATATAGTTCAAAAATTCAAACAGATTGTTTATGTCTAAATCCAGTACAAAAATCAATTAATTTCCATAAAAGAAGATAATTTATTATCATTTTTACGCATATGCAAATCTAAAACTTGAATTTACATGGATAATAAGAATATTTTTTTCCAAAACCGCAGACAGAAGATAAATTAACTAAGTTTTTTTTTAATTATTTCAGGGTGCACCCGTATGTACGTTTATTTGAGAGGAGGAGGATTACCCTCTCAATTTTGAGGGATTCGTTAGTTTATTTTCTCGATGAATATGCAATAAAATTTGATTTTTACCTTATCAATATACTTCATATAATATACACATGTTCATGTAAAAACTTTTTTCCAAAATCCTCAGGAATTAAGGGATTTTTGAATTTTAAGAATTTTTTTCGAATTTTTTCGAAAAAAAATATTTTCAGAACAGCCTTAACGGCTAAGATTTAGGAACAATGTTAAGTATCAAAAAGAAAGGAGGTCTGATATAGACAACATATATCGTTGAAGGTTGAAAAAATCTCTAATATTTGAGCCCAAAATTTCAAATTTTAATTTTTTGAAAAAAGAGGCCACCCGTATGTACGTTTATTTGAGAGGAGGAGGATATTTTTGAAAGGGTGAAACATTATGAATATGTTAATTATATAATAATATGTATTATTATAAAAAAGAAAAAATAAAGCACGTTAAATTTTTTCTTTCTTGATTTTTTACAAAATCTACTTAGAATTATGCAAAATATGACTAAATAATTATAAATTTCAAGTTAAATTTTAATTTTGATAAATAATTTAAATTTCAAAATATCAAGTTCAGTTCGACTATGTATGTAGTAATTCCTCAATAAAGTGCCAAAACCCTATTAAAATATATGAACATTTTCAACATTTTAATGTTTTTATTTAAAAATTTGTTGGAATATGAGCTTCAAACAATTATTATGTAAATAAAAATAATTAAATATATGTATTTATTCGTATTACAACCGTAGTAAGTCGATTCTTCCTTTCTTCTACTGAGATTTGAATTTGATTTCGAATTGTAAAGAGATTCAAAGGGAAAATACTAGCGGATAAAAACTACCTCCATGAAAGGGTCATAATGGAGTCAAGTTGTATTTTTTGATATTTTTTGCTTTTCGAGCCTAAATAGGTAGCCAAGATAATGCCTAAAAATAAGGTTCTAAATTCTGAAGTTTACATGATCCTCTCGTGTGCACCCTTAATTATTTAATTAGCTCACCAGTAGAAGTTGTGACTGGTTATTTGCAGTTCTATCATGTATTTAATTTAAACTGTATACTCTCACTATCTTCGCTTGTTCTGGAAATATATTCCGAATTGAGATAGAAATGTTGTAAATCAAGGAATAAAATGTTTTGTATAATATAAAGCTCTAAGATTTCGATGTCATCTATATATGTGTTGAATATAGATGTTCGTGTACTGATTTGTGATGCAAGAACTGTGTCAACTTTCATCCAAAAAACAATAGATGATTCTTTGAAGAAATCAACACATGGAATTCCTTGATTTGTTGCAATGAGGCGGCGAATTCCTAATGAATATGAAAGTGGTGGAGATGTGTTCAATGTTTGGATGGTAGTCAGAAGGAATGTGATGAATGAATCACATATCATGCTAAATGTTCCTTTCGTTGGAAGTAAAATTTGCATTATTTTCTCTGCAATGACTGTTGATGACTTAATTGTGATTATTTTGCTGAGTAATGGATAAGCGTACTGAACAATATCTTCTTTTGATTTGAAATTCTCAATTTGGACACCTCTGAATGAAAAATTATTCGGAAACTTAATAATCATGTCTAAAAGTAAACAATCTATCTCTCCTTAATGGAATTTGATGCAATTGTAGATAGAATAGTTGGCTAAATTCATCATAAGTCTAAATAATTCGTCAAATAATTGGGCATTTGTGTAAATTCCGAAAATCAACAGTAAAATTGATGGTTTTTGGATCAATGTTAAGAAAGAAATGGATGCTGTTTGAGATGCTGAAAGAAAACTAAGTAATCTATTTTTGGTCAGTTCACTTACTTGATTTCCTTCGCATTTCTTCATTAAAGAAGCGAAATTTCGGATAGCTTTGATATCAAAGTTGAAGTCTGGGTTGAATACGAACTGTTGCATGGAAAGTTGAAGGATTTGTGTCAGTAATTCGTAACTTGGAACGTTATTAGCGTATTCTATAGCATTACTTAGTATAATATCGCAGTCTTTTACTATCGCGGGGTTAAGCTGGATACCATCGAATACACAAGCTAAGAAACGACTGGCTAATTTAGTTGTTTTCTCTGTTTCTGTGTGCAAACTGAAAATTCTTCAAGCTCCTGTTACGAAACCTACTGTTTGTGAGATTGCGCTGTTAACTGTTCTGAAAACTTGTGTTAATTTTCCAAAAATAATATCTGAAAAAGATTCTTCGAAAAAAGCAGTCAAAAACGCTGAAGCAAATGAAGGAGATGAAAAGCATGTGGTTGTCACTTGAGGATTATTCAAAATCTCGAAGATAAATACGAATAATGAATCTCTCGCTTGAATTGTCTTTTCTGCGTTATCTGGATCGAGAGAATATATTGATCTGAGCTTCTGTTCGACAGCTGACAGTGCTTGGAAGGAGTCATCCTCAAAAGTGACGCCTTGGAGTTGTAATGTCTGAATTCTCAAACAAACTTCAGCGAAAAGGTATGGGAAATCGCGTAAAATTACTAATGATCTTGGAAGATATTGTGGCATCTTAAGGAATATTGTTTCTATCGCTGTTTGTCTGATAAATGCCAAATGTTCGAAATTTTCGATTTTGTCAAACATCGTGATGTATGGATTAAAAATAACCTTGTTCATAACTGTGTAGAAAACCTTCTCTGGAATGTTCTTCGTATGAGTAGTTCGTTTTAATAAATAAAGATACGCCAAATAAACCATTAAATTACAGTTTTCGTCGGTGATAAAGTTGGATGTAGAAATAAAGAATGAAGCTGTAAACGCAGCACCGCATTTTTGTAAAATTTTTCCGATGATTTTGATCGTATCAAAAAATTGGTTATCGATAAGGTCCTCTTCTGATAGTGAAGAATTAACGCCTGGTATGCTAACATTAAACATCGAACCGGTAACTACTGAATGATGAAACTCAATGTTATCATATTTTGGATTTTCTGAATAATAAGCGTATTTCGAGTCTTTTTCGATAGGATATATAATGTTACTAGAAAATTTATTTGATAAGCTATAGAAATAGTTGCCAAGCATCGCAAATAAGCCTTTTTTCGCATCATTTACTTTTGTTTGTCCCAAAAGTTGGACACACTCCAAAACAGGAGATTCAAAGTACTGTAATCTGAATGATATTGTTCTAATAAGCACGTCATTCTCATGATACGTGTTGTTTTCTAGTGAAATTCTTATACAATTATTTATAATTTTAAGAATAATCACTGCATTTAAGCAATCATTGAGGATGTATAAGACTTCAAGCAAATTACAAGCCGAATTGAACACCATTTTGCTTGAATCGATATGTAAAGTGATGGCTTCAATAATTTGAGACAAAGCTGACTGAGGGATCAAAATATTTTGCTTGGATGTAACGTAATCGACAATTAGAAAATAAAGGTATTGCATTTTTGGACTTAATGTCATATGATTAAAGAAAAAATATAACGAATTCAAAACTAGATCGAGATATTGGATATCTATATTATGAGATATGTATCCTAATGCATTTGCAATCACAATATATGAGCATTTGTTTAAACCTTTGATGTCTGTAGAATATTTTTCCACAAAAATTTTAAGTATTTCGGGTTCGAATGTAAAATAAGATGAAAGAAGTGCTTTCAACTCTGTTTTCTTGCCAAACTTCTTCACATTTTCTATTATTATTGTTAATTCGCTGCGTTTTAGAAGTGGCATGTTCCAACTCTGATAATATTCACTAAATTCCTTATCATTTTGATCAAGCGAGATGCTGCCCGAAAACGTGTTCAAGATTTCGATCAGCATGTTCTTCGCTTTATCTTTCCCTTTCATGGAGAAAGATTTGTTCTGAAATAAAATTTGAGAGTGAAACCTAAAAATGTTTTAAAATATTAATCTATAGCTAAATTGCAATATTATTTGTCAAAATGACGAATCTGCCATGGACTTTTTCAAAAAAATAATTCAGAGCAATCATAAGTGTACTTTCAGATTCTGTTTAGTTTTATGCCCTATAGCTCAGTCTATTATGTAGAGCAATATACGCTATCAAAAGTTCGCATTATACCCATGAAAAGGATCGAAATCCGATTTTGATATTTATATTGTCACTTTTTGTAACTTTTTATGTCATTTTGGGCCACGCAATTTTGTGTTCGTTTTTTTTTCAAATATAAAAAAATTATTTTGAAATGTCTGTTGCTTCATCAGTAGCGAATGACAAGCTAACAGACCTTCGGATGAAAAAGAAGCAAGCTATACAGTCATTGAATTTTGATGCTGCAGAAGAATATGATCGACAAATCGAAGAAACAAATCAATTTATTCTTACAGACAGAGTAGAGAAGATTCATCAAGAAATTCTCAATGATATCAAGAAAAACTACATAAATTATTGCCAAGCAAAAGATGAAATCGACAATTTTCAAAAAAAGCAAGAATATTTAATTCGAACCAAATATGGACAAGACTGCGATGTATCACAAAAACAATTCGAAAATGAAAGTAAAAGTATTGATAAGGCTCATGATACCGCATTATTAAGAGAAGCCGAAGCAGAAGTTCCTGAGCAAATTGAAAAGCTTGAAGAAGCCAAAAATATGGCTTCTCAAGGCAAATATGCCGAAGCTAAGCAATTGATGGCTGAAGCTCGTTTAATTGGCGAAAGTATTTTAGCAGCAAGAAAAGAACGTGTTGATAACGAATTTGAACAATCCAGATCTATACACGCTACAAAACAACAGGAAGAAATGGAAAGAATCGAAGCCAAATTTGAAGAACAAATGGAAATTCTAAATAATGAGATTGCAGCTAGACAACAAGAAGCTGAACAACGATATCAAAGCGGCCTAGAACTAATACGTGAAAGAGCAAAAATTAAATGCATGACACTCTTAACTGATGACAAAACTAAAGAAGATTTAGTTTACCAACTAAATCTTAAAATAAACGATACGGTAATGGCTCTAGAAAGTGGAGCAGTCACTCCATCATATCCTACATCATCTACTAGATACTCTGGAAAATCTACAACTTCTACCCGATCCAAGCGCAATACTCCTGGATCAAAGAGCAGATCTAGAACTAGTAGTTCAAAGAATAGTGTGCCAAGCACGAACGGAAATATAACTCCTTCTGGAACTTTAAGTCCAAAATAATATTTTGATTTTTGATCTTGTTAATTATAAATAGCATGTTTATATAATAAATTTACTAATGTATCTCTTGAAAATATTGCAATATGTAAAAGAAAACCAAAATTTTATTGAATTTCAGGCTTTTAGCTTTAGAGACAATTAGCTTTGACATTTTCATATATGGTTATAACATTGATGTTATAGTAATGAATGTAAAATCATTCGAAATTGAAAATCTTTAGTGATATTTGCAATTTCACCAATTATGAGCTTCTAATTGCGCAGTATCATTTTGTATGATGTTTTAATCCACTTTTTTCTCTCCTAAATATATTTGAATACAAAATAACAACTCGATTTCGACTGTTATAACAATCATTTTCTTGAAATCAAATAATTTTTGGAAATTTCTGATATTCATTTTAAAAAATCTGATGCTAAGATTAATATGATATGAAACTAAATCAGCAATAATATAAATAATTTAATAGATTTTGCTATTTTTGAGATTGGAAGCCCTAAAATTCAAATTGCAAATTTGAGATATTTATTGAATCATAATTACGAATTCTCATACGATGAGCTCAACAAATATTCCTTACTATACCAAATTCGAGTTAGAATTCATGATGAAAATACAAATTGACATCCAAATATTGGTATAAAAATTTCATGAAAGTATGAACAGCACACAATATCAACTTGAAAACACTTTCGATACATCAAAAAGCAGCTGTGTGATTTACGCCCCATGTTTTGATGTAATGAATTACTTCATTTCGGTAAAAAAGTGACATTTTTTTTCTAAATGCTATTGAACATTCTTGTTTTAGAGATTATCCCATTTGACGACAAACGCGAGAATATCCTCTTAAAAGCTCGTAAAGAGGGCACACTTGTTGTAGATGCAAGTGGATCCATTGGGCAATATTACAGTTCCAAGTGCAATCCAACATATCCAAATATGACAATCCGTGATAAGGATGACGGATTTGATTGGTGCTCTTCCGTAGCTAAAGATAACAATCATAAGCCTTGGCTCGGATTTTCTGTCAAAAACAACAAGATTAGTGTTACAGGCTATTCTGTTAGAGCAGGATGCTGCTACTATGGATGCTGCTGCCTTGATGATAACACTTTTGTACGAGGATGCTGCTGTGAATTATATTCTTGGTCATTAAGAGGTTCAAATGATAACATTACATGGGTAACCATCCACAAGGTCGAGAAGGATTCAAAGATGAGATATTGCACAAACAGATCTTACGACTTCAAGCCATCAAAGTTCTTTAAGTATGTTCGCTTATTCCAGGACGAGGTACCTTCTTACTGCGATTTCTGCATGGTTGTTAATAGATTCGAGTTATATGGAAAGACAGAAACCGGCAATGCAGTTATATTTGACGATGAAACCGAATTAGAAAGCGACGAAGAAATTTCTATTATCGGAAAGGTTAAAAACTAATTGTAATACGTTTATCTATGATTTTAAATTATTATCGAATTTCATTTTCATATTTTTCATTTCTAGAGTATGTTATTGAATTTTTACATATTAAAATGATTTTTCTGAACATATATTTATAAATTAAAGCTACAAAGATATAAAATGAAGAATTTCATAAAATTTCGAAATTATTATTTGATGTTTTGAAGCTATGGTATAAAAATAATAGAAGTAATGAAACAAACAAACAACTTTATTCGGTAAAACAAGGCTAATAATCAACAGAGATAAATTAGTCCCGACCAAATAAGAAATAAACATACTAAAAATTAGAAAACACTTAATAGTGCTGATAATGGGATGTGCCCATCGCTGAATTCAATGGCTACTTGCTCTTTAACGGGTTTTCTGCACATCGGGCAGGAAGAGTTAGTTAAAAGCCATCGATAAGCGCATTGGTAACAAAAGATGTGACCGCAAGGTAAAATGACCGGTTCTATTGGAACTTCTTGGCAAATTACGCAATAATCGCAGTGCATGTCAGCAGGAGCTGGACAAATAGCGTTTACAGAATTTACTCGGTAACTTCTAATTGAGAATACAAAATCCCAGAGTAACCAAATCAATAAAACACACTTCATAACTATGTAAATGTAACAAGCAGTTGTTTTGTTAGCACTTAAAAAGGCAACAACTGTTGGAGCAGGCCATATATTTGAGAAGAAACAGAGCCAACGATAAGTGCAAATTACTGATCTGTATAAGACAAAAAATCTCTCAAAAACGCCAAAGAATCCTCGACGAATATATCTATAAGTAATAATCTTAGCTCCTATAAGGAAGCATTTAATTGAAGTCGCAAGAGTAAATATCGAGAGCGTATTTACCAGAGAACTAAGAAAAGCGAGATATAGATTTGAGTATTTGACTGTGTGGTATTGCATAATAACGAAACTTGCAATGGATAATGAAAACATAACTAATCCCCATGGTAAAAGGAAATATGGTGTTTCGAAATAAAAGGAACTACTTGATGTCATTTTTTCCATAACATCTTGCAATTTATGTTCAATAATCTGATAGAAAACAAGCAATGTGGTGCAAGTTGCAAACATGACTAAATCTTGTTGGATAACTTTGATAGCAATGATAATACATAGTACCCCTCCCATAAAACTGATCTTCTTGTTAAAGGATCCATTAAATATGAATCCTTGTGGAGGTTGAATCATATATGGTTGGAGTTTATTGAATAATTTAAATAACCAACCTGTTATCGACTTTTCAAAAAAGTTATCGATAATTTATATAATTCTAATAGATAATCAAATATTATAAATTTGAGCGTGTTTTAACATTGAATGCATTCACAATATTTTGATAATTATGTTCGCACTAATATTTCTATTCATATCAAGATATTTAAGAAAACAAAAATTTGATATTTTACTTTTTTCGAATTTGAATCATTTCTCCGGCCATTGAACAAAATTGAGAAGGCTCAATAAAATGTTTTTACAAGTATACTTATGTATATTTTCCTACAATAAAAAATTTTAACACTTTACAAAATTTACTATATCATTTATATTTTCCCACCAAAATGGTACCATTTCTTTTCTAGTTCAAAGCGATAGCTATTGAAACTATGATGTTAACATTTATTGTAATCATTAATCACATATAATTCTCTCTATTTTCCACAATGAGTGGGAGGATTTCTTCAACTCTTCAATTAATTATACATTATACAAAAATAAACATGCTATTATCAACATTTCTGCCGATAATAGCTTTTACATCTCCCTTTGTCTCTTTATCTCTCTTGATGAGACAGGTGCAGTTCATATCAGAGACGAAACAAATAAATATCTCATATTTCTCATTGATACAAGCTCGCTTGCCAAATGTGAGCATAAGAGCCTTGAAGGCGGCTCTTTATACATAAACGCAAATTAAGGTGAGTGTGTTCAAGACCGAATCTGCAGTCTGGTTTCTAAAACATCTAGTAATGACGCCAATTGCTATATACAAGTTTCTTCAATGCCTCCATATCGAAATTACATCTCTGATTAATCAATTGCTTCAAGTGGCGATGAAAACAAAGTAGGTTCCCGTAATATCGATTCGAGTAATGGCTAAATAATTATGAAATCAATCAATATTTCTTATTCAAAATCTATTGCAGCAAATTTATACAAGGTTTATTTTCGTACTAATTCAAACGTAACATTTTCAACTTTTTCAAATAACACTTCTAAAAACACCAAGTACGAAGCACACCATTATGCTTCATTTAATTATCTTAATTTTAATATTCAGTTTTGTAATTTCTTCGAAGATGAATGCCACTTGCTTATTTTCAGCGAACATAGTAATTTCTATATCATTAATTGCAATTTTTATAAAAATAACATCAAAAGTTTGTATTTCAAAACGTTAAAACGAATTCAAGTCAATGAATGCTATTTTGACCTTTCAAACGTTAGCTCAGCTTGGGATGTCACAATAACAGAAAATCTAAGTTCACTTTATCCAGAAAATTATCGTTTGTCTAATACATGCTTTGCTGATGCAGAACTTGAATCTCCTGAAGAAAAAAAAGATAAAGACAAACACAGAGAAGAAATTAAACTTAACTTTAAGCAGAAATCAAAATAACCTTTCTATTATTTCTATTATTTCTAAATAAACCTTTTAAGTTCGAATTTTCTTAAAGTGTTATACTTGTGTATTGATACATTTTCAATTTTTATCGATATTTCCTGAAGCATCACCTGTATTCTTGAGAAAATCTTATCCATCTATTGCACGTTTTATATAATCATGCTTTTAAAAGAGTATAAATAATGGCATCTTTTGCTATTTTCATCAGAATCTTCCCTTATTTTTTGTAACAGATCAAATTAGTTTAAGTTTCAGGTTTTCAATAAAGATATACCAAATAACATATGGGAAGAATACTACGGATTACCAGCAGAAAACTATACAAACATTACAGACAACACAAAGCCAACAATTTCTTCAAATTTTTTCTTACTTTCTTCTGATTTCAGAGATTTTTCAGAGAGCATCATTAATTGCAGTATGGATTATATTAAATTGTTACATTCAATATGCACTTATTCTATTATTAGGCGCAATGAAGGGTCTGGGGGTTGCATCTTCTTTGAAGGCAACAGTTCCATCGTCCAAGATCGATTTTGTACCTTCCGATGCTTTACATCAAGCAGTGGACAACATTCATTTACAAATGTTAAAGTGGAAAACAACAAAAATTTAGTAAATTTAAGTTCTTTATATCAATGCGGTAATGACGATATAGGATCATGCAGCTTAACTCATTCATATGGAAATAAAGCTCTTATTTCTACAAACATAACTAATACAAAATCTCAATATAAAGCCGGCTATAGCTTTGGGTATAGTTCATCTGTTTCTAACTTTTGTTACTTCATTTCTAATGACAACCATTTTTCAGATCCAGCTTGCATGATACATGATGAGGAACGTAATTCTTTTGTTCAAAATTCAATCTTTAAAAACAACTCCGGTAAAATTGCTCACTCATATTATGGTCTTCTTACTTCATTTTTTGATTCATTCCTTACTGTTTCAGAATGTATTTTCAATGGAAATAATGTAGATAATACTTTTAGTGCAGTATATACTAGTTCATTAACAATTATTAACTGCACAGGAGATATCTTGACTGCAGATAGTTTTGATTGTCCTACAATTGAAACAGATAAAATGAAAACGGATCCTTTTAATATATCATTTCCTCTTGTTTCACTAATTAGATGTGATGAATTATATTCATTTTCGATTAAACGCTTTGATTATCCAACACAAAACAACGATGAATTTATTCTTGAAGGTTTTTTCAAAATTAATTTTTCAATTGTATGTTTCTTTAAATTCAAATAATCATTAAAATATTTAATCATAGTGATATCATATATTCCAACAGTCTGGGGATTACTCGCGACTTAAGTGTTACATTCAAATTTGAGCTTCTTATGGCGCACATAGCAGACATTGAATTTGGATTCGTAGTGAATTATAAAAATTACTATTGTTTTTATTACAAACAAAACAAAAAACAAAATCTATTTCAAAAAGTATTGAGCTTCTCGATAAAAAGAAATTAAGTTTTCATTAGAAAACTCTGTCGGACACACTGCAGGAGCTCCCAATATTAAGCAGTGACTGTATTTGTCGTAATTTCCATACGCGAGTGGTATTATTTCGTCATAACATCTGAATAGAAGAACAAATTTGTTTCCAAGAAATGACTCAAAAATAAAAGATTTTCGGACTTGTACGAGATTATCGAATGTTTCTATTTTGCCTTCACTAAACAATGAAATAGAACGAAGGTTGTCTATAAGAACTGTGTAGTTTGTACCGTTATATGTGAAATTTGCTTGAAAAACACCTAATGTGTATTCTACAAACTCGTCGTTTTGACCGAAATCAAGTGATTGCATTGTACGCATCTTAGAAACTAAATTTGTACTCTTATTTATTCGTTGCTCGTATTGTAAACAAGTTTCATTTGATTTCTTTTGTAAATCGTGCAATTTACTGAATTCGTGGACAAATGTAAAGTTTTGGATATCTACAGCTTTGGTTAATGCATCTTCTCTGATACTTTTCTCTTCTTCGAGGTATTTATTGTAGCGACCTCTGTAAAGAGGATTCATAGATTCATTCCAATAATCTTGTGGATCTTTAGTAATGTTGAGCATGTCAAATGAAATCTTGTTTATCTTGTAGGTATAGTAACTTTGATCAAATTGGCAAGCACTTTGGAGATTTTGGTAAAAAAGCGTCTTAAAGACTTGTTTAGACTCTATTTGTGTCATTTCATTACGTCTGTTGACAGAAGAGCGTCTGTTTGCTTCTGATAATTCAACTGCACGTTTAAATCTGTTAACAATTGTTTCGTTGAATAAAGAAACGTTGATGTAACAAGTATTTCTACAAGTGACTGCTGGATTTTCATATTCATCTGAGCCATCACAACAATCACAAACACTATCATTGTATTTGCTAAGAGTTAAGTTCAAATCTCCTGTAAAACAATGAAAAACATTTTGTTTTCTATCGAAAAAATAGTCAGCATTTGAAGTTTGTTCTGTGGCTATAATGGTCAGAAGAATCATTCAAAATTTATGAACTTTGGCAACAATGGATATTTGGCACATAAACCGTACTCAAAGACGTTTGATGATTTAATAAGGTTTACAGATAATTTCTTCATTAGATTTCAATATTAACTTAATAACATCCAAGATGATGGATACCTATAAAAATGAAATGCCTTTGCGCATATATTCTCATTAAATTGTAAAAATATTAATTTCATATCTTTCAAAAAGCTATTTCATACGATATTATATCACGTACACAGTATATTAGCTTTCATATTTCAAGAATATAAACTCAATTAAGAACTAATTTCAATATTTATTAGGGAATCAGATTAATGTTTATTAAATACTTCTTGGATTGTATCAACAAGATTTGGTATTGTGAATGAAGGAGCAAGCATCTTAACATCTTCGAAGAAGTCGTTGTTTGTGAGAATATTTCCTTTTGACAAAACATAAAAGAATAATTCGAGATTTCCGGAGTTAATCAATAAGCCATAGTCTTCTTCAACAAGGCCCTCATCGAAGTACTTAACTCCATACTCGTAATTATGGCCGCAAACTGCATTTGTAGGAATTCCTTTTCTTCGGATTTCATCGATTGCAGAACCCTTGGTTTTCTCAATGCATATGTCAATTATTTCCTTGTTACCATTTTGAAGAGCAAATGTAAGTGTTTGTAAAGTTATTTGGGAATTATGTTCAGCCAAGAAGTGGAAACACTTAACAGAACCAAAGCATGCAGCCCAATCAATTAATGTATGATATGGATCCATTAATTTGAACATTCTAATGGGATCGCGGTAATAATTTGACCAAATCTTTTCATTAACGTCCAAAGATGAAATCTTAGCTTTGAGACCTTCAACATCATCATGGAGAACAAGATTGATTGGAGATCCCATTTCATCAACTTCGAAAACTTCTTCTAAGGAGTTCCAGTACTTTGGTGGATAAAGATTGTACTCTAATCCAACAGCAGCTAATAATGGTCCTCCGTAGTTGTGACTGTCAAGTTGGACATGATACTTTTCAACAATTAATTTAAAGAGTTCGAAGTACTGTCTCAAGTAAGGAAGTCTGTTCTTGGAAGCTCTGTTGATTTGCTTAAGGACAAAATCAGGAGAAACACCTAAATCAGTAATTGCTGTAACAATGGAATTAAAAACTTCATCGAGGTTTTTTTCGCCGAGGTGATAGATGAAGTTTAACATGACGATGGCTCCCATAAACTTTTCGCGAAGAATGTGCTCATACTGTGCCGATTCCATAAAATTTTTGTGAAGAAAACTGCTTATCGGTTTGAATGCCAATTTTGAATAAATGTTTTATCTATTCAAAGTGATCGAGAACATTTGTTAATGACGGGTCATTTTCAGTAACATAAGCTTAGAAACATGCCATAAATACTAAATTCCTGAACAATAAGATCTTTTAATGAGAAAACAAAAAAATTAAAATCGTTATTGAGTCATTTTAATGAAAATGAAGATGTGATTTAAATTGATTCAAGGAATTTGTAAATCATTTAAACTCAATAGAAGCATTTCGTTAAAATTAATTTTGATTGATTAAAAACTTGAGATTTTGAAGAAGATATAATGAGAAAATGTATGCATTCTAAAAATTAGTTAATTTAATAAATGGATATTAGTATTTTTATTCTAAAAAAATAATTTTGATAAAATATTAAAACATTATAATATAATTTGCAGACTATTCGATGTATTACAGTAGCTAAGCAGCTTCTTGACCAAGTTTTGAACGTAGTTGAGAGATCATTTCCGATTGAAGTAATTCTTTCGTTTCCAGAGTATTTAAGAACTTCGAAATGACTTCTACCGGGATGGTCTTTACAATTTCATCTGAAACAGACAAAATTATCTGGCCAAGTGACTGTGCATCGTTTAATTTGCAACAAGTTGAGCATTTTTGTTCATTAAAGTGAACACAAAGTATATCGTGATTGATTGCCCAGGTTATATAGTCGCTAAGGAATTTACTCGGAATTTCGATTTTATTCGTCGTATTTTTAACGAGTAAATGTACGAAATTGATGGATTTCTGTATTAAATCTTTATCGTTCATATTTTTGGTGAGCTCAATTAGCTCTTTATATACAGGAAATGATAATTCGAAATGAATTGGTGAAGAAAAGAACAAATTGTACAAAAATATTAGCGCATACTTTGCAAGGGATGGATACTTCTTCGGAATATTAATAGCAGCATCAACAAATTGTTGATCAAAGAAATCCATAACTTGATTATATTCGAAAAAGTAAATTGTGATGTTATCTAATAGCTGAATTGTGTACATGACGAGGTATAAGTTCTGAGAACTCATACATTTATAAACTTTGTCAAAGAATCTCTTATTGAAATGCGAAATCTCTTCTTCTCTGAGTTTTTTTGAATAAGAAACAACATCGAAGTTAAGCATTGATGTTAAATTTTCGAGTTCGATATCATTATCTATAGGAAGACTCATATATATTTCGTAATCGTTAATAAACTTCATTTTTGCTTCATAATTAAGTCCACATTCAACAGGGGCCATATTGTATTCATGATCGCAGTTTGCATCATGCGGTTTCAGTTCAATAAAGTCAGCTATTGAATGAAAGCGCTTCACATGTCGAAACATTTGTCACTTTTTTAATTTGAATATTTGGGGAGTCCAGCCTCCAAAACTATGTAAATATTCTAATCACATGAAGAATATCTATTACACCAAATTTCAAAAGTTAGCGGTGTAACGGTTTTGAAAAGAAATGTGACCAATGATGACCCCTAATTCTAAATATTTTGTGTATGATGATCATGTAACGATAATATTCAATTTCTTCCATCAAAAATTTCATTGAAATTTCGGAAGTATCAAGAACTATGGAAAGACCAGAATTTCGAGACAGAGCATACCATTTTCAGGGTGTCCTAAATATATAGTACCATTTTCGCTCCTGATGCTTTATTATTTACGATTTTTTGATTTATATTTCCAAAAAATTCAAAATCAATTACAATACCCGGCATATACAATAATTAGGCACTTTAAATTAAAAACACAGGGTTTTAAAACAGTATATTTTTTTTCAGAAATATTTAAAACCACAAATTAAATGTTTTTAGTTGGTCCAAGAGGTAAAGTAGTCCAACAGAATACTCCTTTTCCAGTAAAATCCATGGAAGCCGCATACATGAGTAATTTGCATCAAAATAAAAAAGGCCGTTGGTATTTCGAAGTTACACACATATCAGGTCCAAATATATACATAGCTGGGTTTCGATTTGATGAAGGAGCTTACTATGGATTTTATCCCCAAATGAAGCTTCCTGATGCTGTTGTTATTTATTTGGGATGCCAATCAAACGTTGAAGATTATCAACCATTAGGATTCAGATCATTAAAGAGTGATTCAACTATTGGAATAAGTTTTGATGCTTTTATTAATAGAATCAATTTTCGAATAGGAAATGAACAGAAAGGATATAATTTATACTTTACAAAAGAAAGATCAGTATATAATATATCAGTTTGGCATGCAAATATTGGTGATCCAGATTATTTAAAAGTAAACCTTGGAAAACAACCATTTGTTTATCCAATTCCACCAGGATTTACAACATTTGATTACGGGCTACAATTGTTTGAATCAAAACGACATCCCATAAATTATATCCTAAATTTCCATGATATCATTTGGAAATGTTTATAAAAAACTAAAGTATTACTATTATAAATTCTTCTACATATAATCTTAAATTTGGTGCTGCTTATCAGAATATTTTGAGACGACTATACAATTCAAAACTCAATTTTTCCCCACAATCCGGCTGCTTAGCTGTTTTCTGCATCAAGAATTTCGTGAAGGGGCACTCATTAGATCCATTTGACTCTCGACTCTTTATTATTCATTTATAGATATTTCCTCAAAATTAAATTATAATATAGGTTTTTAATTTTTGTATACTAATCGCACCTTTTAAAACTAAAAGGTGTTTTAATAGCTTTTCCTTCTCATTCATTAAAACTTCTAGTTAAATGTATTTAATTGGTTCAGATGGGAGCAAAGTGCAACAAAACACTACATTTTCAGTATTATCTGATGGACCTACATATTGGAGTAATATTCATAAATACAAAAAAGGTAGATGATATTTTGAAATCACGCATATATCAGGTCCAAATATGTATATTGCTGGATTTAGATTTGTTAGTCAATCATTTTTTGCATTTTATCCTCATTCTGCGCTTCCGGATTCTAGTGTTATTTATTTAGGCTGTCAGGCACCAATTCGATCTTATAGTTTAGCAGGTTTCAAATCATTGAAAGATAATTCAACAATCGGAATAAGCTTTGATGCATTTACTAACAAAATTGGATTTCGAGTTGAAAATGAACAGAAAGGCTATTATATAAATTTTCCTAATGAAAAGTCAAGCTATTTTGCACATGTCTGGCATGCAAGTGCTGGTGATCCAGATTATTTATCAATTAATTTCGGAGCGCAGCCTTTTGTGTATTCTATTCCACCAGGATATACAACTCTAGATAAAGAAATGGCAATATGTAATCCAAATCAATTTTCACAGCCATTTGATTTTGATTTCATAAAAATTTCAATCATATTATACATCTTAACATAATGTCTTCGTAAATGATTATAACCAAAGTCATACACATATATTCATCAAATTAATTTATCAGATTTATTTTATGATTCAACCAAAATGATTTATGATGCATTAGCTTGACTTCATAATGCTCAACTACACAAAAAATCTAGTAATCATATTCACAAACACTTTTGAAATGATTTCAAATTTGTTTCATAGTTCTATCATTCTCAAGTTAATACTCAAAATATTTGCTCAATTAGTTTGAATTAGAGTTGAGTTTATTAACTCTAACAAACAAACTATATAATGAAATAATATAAGACCTTATACATCTATATCTATAAAGATAGTTCATACAAATATTCTCAAATGTAGTTATATAGAAATTAAAAAACTGCGCTCTGTGTATCTTTTTGAAATGGCGTTGATATTGAATTGGCTCTGTGATTTCTACTTCAGGTTTCAATTCCATTGAACATGAACTAGGAGAATGATGATTTTCTGGATAAATTGAATCTACTTTCTCTGTTATTATGACATTTCCACTTGCACCAGGATCAGAAATATCAAAGAAGCACCCTTTAACTTGAATTGTATCGGCAATAGCATAAAAATATACTTCTTTGATGTAATTATTATAAAAGCTACAATTAAAGATATAGAGATTGCGAATACTAATATAGGGTGTCCAAAGGTGCGTTTAGCACAGCGCTCTATATGAGACTATTAAAGGAGATATATGCTGATTATAAATATATAATAAAAAATATGAATATATGTATATGATGAGTATGTTGTATTTTGGCGCCATGCCGGGATATAAAATGAATTTTGAGACAAGAGGCGGTTTCGCGGGAAATTTTGGCGGGATTTTTTTCATTTTTTTAATGAATCATAAAGAAAACATCCTCGCTCTTGCAAAAAAATGCAAAGACTGTAAAAAATCTACGAGACATTGGTAAAATGCTTCGGTATGGATGCTCCTAGCTATTCCACTGTAACGTATCATGTTAGGTGTATCACTTCATGAACAAAAGACGCCCATCATAAAAATTGACAAAAAATCGCCGGATCAAAGAAAAATCAAAGCAATTCTTCAAGCGCTAGATGAAGACCCAAGAGCATCACTCAGAAGGATAGAGGAGATGACAAAGATACCACGTACAACAGTCAGTTATTATCTGCACAATTATTTGAACTACAAACTAGCGTATACACGTTGGGTTCCGCAAACCTTAATTCAGTTCAAAAAAAATCTAGAGTCCAATCTTCGAAAGAGCTCCTCTCTATATTGGGTGCGTATCAATCCAAGAAGTTTCGCTTTTTAGTAACAGGGGACGAGTCTTGGTTTCAATATGCAACAGAAGCCAAAATCATGTGGATCCCGAAGGATGAAAATCCGCAAACATTCCCGAAGAAAAAAATTGACACACCAATGATGATGTTGTCGGTTTTTTGGGGCGTGAATGGCATCATCGCAATTGATATTCTTCAAAAACCTAATACGATGAATGCTCAGTATCTAATTGACAATGTTCTTACTCAAATTATCAATTCTGATGAGTTTGAGAAATCCAAACAACAAAAACAAAAGTTTGCAATTCATTTTGATAATTCAAGAGTTCACAAAAGTCATAAGGTAATGAATTACTTGGTGGAAAACAATGTCAAAGTTGTTCCAAACCCAATTTATTCACCTGATATTGCACCCTCTGACTTTATTTATTCGGCACGCTAAAAAAGAGAGCTGAAGGACGCGAATTCGCGAGTCCAGATGATCTTGAAAATTTTGTAAGAGAGCAATTTGAGCAATTTTCTCATGATGATTTAAAGCGTGTCTTTCAAGCCTGGATCGATCGCTGCGAACGCGTGATTGAATCCAATGGTGATTATATTTAAATAAACTTTATATATATGTAACTTGTTTATTTATATTCGCAGTATTCAGGTTTGTGCTAAACACACCTTTGGACACCCTATAATAATTTCCTTTCCTTTGATTTCTAAATAATTACAAAAAACAATTTTAAATTCAGTTGATGTATATCCTTGATGAGATGCTTCAGTACCATCTGATGTGTAATTTGAAAATGTTGAATATGTTACGTTTGAGTTTGTTATATAAGTAGCATGGTAGGAACTCCCAGACTTCAGTTTTGAATTTGAAATATTAATAGATTTCATATTTGTTTCACCATACAACAAATGAATATTACCATTTCCTTGATAGGTATTAGAACTACTTGAAGATATTGTCGAATCAATTAAATAATTCTTTAATACAGATGTTTGTGAAAGTTTAATAGAACAATAAACACCAGCAAATATTGATTTGGAGCCAAAACTACAAATTCGGTCTTGAACACATTCACCATTTTCAGAATTTACGCATAATGAACCAGTGCCACCTGAAGGGCCGTGGTATCCGCATTTGTCAAATGAGCTTGTATCAATGAGAAATTTAACGTTGTTGTAAGTTTCGTCTTTGATCGAAATTGCGCCTTCGACATCCAGAGAAATAAAATAACAAAACGAGATGTAATAGCTTTTATCACCATTAGCATCAAGGTTTTGATGTGTGTTGCTGTACATTGTGTAATCGATTGAAGGTTCGAAGAAATCGTCCCACCCTTTGTGGGAAATAGATGAAAATATTTGTGATATAAGCATATAATATATGATATTATAGCGCAAATCATACTCATATTGATTAGTGAATCATATTTAAGAACTCGACTTTTATACCAATTTTTTTGGTTGTGTCAAAAAATACGATATATTTAGAATTTTAGAGAATTTCTTGAGAAAAATTATAAGCATATATACATTTTTTTTATTTTCCATGAATGAATCAACTAATATTTTCCACACGACTTGATTTTGAGGATAAGCTAGAGAAGAATGCGGCACTCAGGCCATTTTGACTTTTGAGGCTATTTGTTATGCTCCTTATTAAGTGATTTGCCGAACAAATTAAAGAATAATTCTCTTGATCAATTTGTAGGTTCATCACACATTTTATATCTTAAGGGTCCACGGTACATTTTCAATACTATTCAAAAATTGAATGCAAAAATGAGAATTATCGTTATCGTCTTTAACTTGAATCGATTTTTTGGAGCTTCTTGGTTGACGAAATTCAAAAATTATATTAAAAATAGTATACAAATATGATATCAAATCAGAATCTATAAATAGATATGGGCCTTTCCATATAAATTTTGAACATTAACGATAGCCTTCGCTTGGCCGGACCGTTAACCCTTAAGTATTGCTTTAACATATATTTTTCACAATATAATCTTGTTAAATGCATTTAGTTGGACCGAATAATAGTGCAATCAGTCAAAATATTATGTTTTCTGTATCCGATGGTTTTGCATACCGCAGTAATATTTAACGAAAGAAAAAAGGCAGATGGTATTACGAAATTACACATATATCAGGCCCAAATATATATATTGTTGGATTTGGATTTAATAGTGAATCATATTTTGCTCTTTATCCTCAATCAAAACTTCCCAATTCAATTGCTGTTTATAAGAATTGCCATTCACCAATCAATGCATATGCCTCTCTAGGTTTCAAATCATTAAAGGATAATTCAACGATTGGAATAAGTTATGATGCATTTACTAACAAAATCGAATTTCGAGTTGAAAATGTGCAGAAAGGATATTATATAACATTTTCGAATGAGATATCAAGATATTATGCACAAGTGTGGCATGCAAGTGCCGGCGATCCAGATTATTTATCTATTAATTTCGGAGAGCGGCCTTTTGTTTATTCTATTCTAGATAAAGAAATGACAATATGTTATCCAAATCAATTTTCACAGCCATTTGATTTTGATTTCAGAAAAATTTCATACATATTATACATCCTAACATAATATCTTCATAAATAATTATAACAAAAACCATACACAGAAATACAAACAAAATCATTTATACGATTCATTTTATGATTCAAGCAAAATCATTTATAATGCATTAGATACACTTAACGATTGCTCAACTACACAATAAAAAATACAATTATCTATACAACAATTATTTTTGCTTCTAATGCCGAATCTAATTTTCATATTCA